TTGTACAAATTAGTGTTTTTTGGATTGCTCAAATTGCTAGAAATCATTTCATGTAAATAATCTTATTTTAAAATATTTTTTTAGATATTAAAAATTATACTTACGTTTTAGGAATTGATAACCTAAAAAAATTTGAAGTGGATTCAAATTAATTTTTGTATAATAAATTCCAAAAATGTATGAAATTGAAAGATTTTACAAAAATGAATATGAGCAATTTGAAAATACAAATTCTTACAAAATAATCATAACATCAATTTTCATATAAATATATTAATACGTGCAATATTTTTATAATCATTTACAAATTTTAGAAAAGGATTATAATTATTATTAGACTATGAAAATAATATAAATGGTAAAGGAAAGCATACATGTGATAGTCGATATGCCATTTTTTATCCAAAAAAGTTTTTTTTCCAATGGTTATGTACCTGTCGTGAAATAGTGGATGTAAAGTTCTTGCATAAGTTTTGTTTAAAAAATGCAAAGTTGATTGATCAATGAGTTTTTCCTAAAACACTATTATTACTAGTAATTCAAATTGACCTTTGAATCTGGAAAACTGGATGTTCATGATGTTTAGAATATCCAATTGCTTCTGTCATGTGAATATTTTATTCAATTAGAACCATCTGTTTATTTTTGGTTCAAGCAAGTTGAATAGTTTCATATTGCTTTCAAATAAAAGCTAGATTAAATTCCAAGATATTGCTTACATTTAAAGATTGAAAAAGCCTTTTTTGTTAAAATCTCAACAAATAAAGGTATCTTTGTATAGCGGATAAGATTTAGGCATATTAAAGGTCAAAGCTATTCACAAATATAGAGAGACAATAGAATCTTGAAATTTTCATACACTTCAGTAAACTTTTCCAGTCAGTTGTGACACAGGGAAATTGCTGAACATGCAAATTCGGTTGAAATTATGCAATATTTAATAATTATTCTACTGGAATAATTTTACTTGGATACTTTTTGGCCATCCATCGCTTGTAGTGCTGTTGTACTTCAAGATTGTTAATTACAGAATTGGCCGACCCAAATTTAATTAGAAGAAATATATATGTCCCCCTAAGGTTTCTGATATAAATTATGGCAGTCAAGTATAAAGATAGTTTCAATGATGACATTTTGGTTATGTGATCTTGTGGTAAACTCAGCGTGCATATTCCCAACGAAACACATAAGTACTTTATCAACTGAATTCAATGGATGAACTTTGGATCAAATGCGTTTTCTCGTAATGCCGAGTCCAAATCCAAATGCTATTAGATCACCCCGATTCAACGTATATAAAAACAAATTACTCTGTTTTGGGCATAATATATTACTAAATAAATATAGACACACATTTATATTTGTTTTGATGTTACTTATCCTAGTCACCAGGGTTTTTTTTGGGAAATCCTAAGTCGCACACCTTTTGAACAATTTGGTGAAATTGTCAACATCCTATGCTTGAGTACAAGCCTTCACTCAGCCCATACATTATTTTCGGTGCTTTCAGTTATACGGACATTGTGGGTTGGGCTGTGTTATGTGTGCAAGTTTCATTGTCTCCCGTTACCAGCTTTTGACCATCAGCTGTAAATTCTTAGTACAAAAGAATCTGTACCATCATAGTACTCGCACTGAATTTACCAGGAGACAGCCCCAAAAAGTTGTACAACGGATCAAGGTTATAAGTGATTGTAGGTATACACCCTAACCCGTATCACCGTAAACTGCGAAATAAACAAAGTGTGACATTTTCGAGAATGTCACATTTTGAAATTTGTACCTAATGTGATATTATAAAAAAAGTTAAAAAATCAAAATAAAACTACAATGCAAAATAAAAATAAAAAATAAAAAACATCAAAATTTTTAGATCTAATATATAATTCAAAATTATGAATGAGAACAAAATGATGCAAATGCCGCGTGTGTAAGATCGAAGGTTGGTGCAAGGGGCATCTCACGACACTCAGAATAGCATTTCGTTTATCACAGGAGCGGCTTATGACCCTTTTGCTACTATAGAATCCATCCATACTTGATATTATCACATTTACACTAAAGATTGATATTTTTGTTACTATACAATCCATCGATACTTGATATTATCACACTTACATTAAAGATTTATCTTTTTGCTATTATAAAATCCATCGATACTTGATATTATCACATTTACACTAAAAATTTTGGACAAAAATTGTGACATTATCGAAGGTGATAGTGGTAATAAAGAGGTAGTTTTATACTAGGAAAATCGGTTTCAAACTTTTAGGTGACAATATTGAGGTTTTTTATTAAAAAGTGTGAGATTATAGAAGTTAGGGTGTAGATTGTTTCAGTAGATTGTCATTTACTCAAAGCATTAATAATAATATAGGATAATAATAAATGTCGGTTAGTTATTAAAAGTAGTAATAGTTTTACAGGATAATAATAAGTGTCGATTAGTTATCACTCACCTGGTGCTAATTAGTACTCACTTTCCTTTTTTATTTTTATTCAAAGTAGTAATAATATTACAAGATAATAATAAGTGCGGACTAGTTATCATTCACATGGTGCTAATTAGCCCTTATCTTATTTACTCAAAGTAATAATAATATTATAGGAGAATAATAAATGCCGGTTAGTTATCTCTCACCCCGTGCTAATTAACCCTCACCCTACTATACAAATATCATTCATTGGTTCACTCGGATTATAGTAATTATATAGTGAAAAAAAAACTTAACGAGTTTTCAGTCTTTTTGATAGACCATTTCTTTTCTCCAAATCTAGAGCATATTTGTGCCTATCATTTTATAGTTTCAGAATCCTTACAATGCCATGCTCCAGGAAAAGGGGTCCACTCTCGAGTTCATTAGACACCAAGGGCTCCTCCGAAGTGTGCCTAACCTAAGACTGGAACAATATCAGATCCTCTAGTATAAGCCAAGCAACATTATGAAAACAGCATCTTGGTCGATGGAACCAGTAGCTGGATCTAAAGCAGCACGAAGTTATCACCCGCAAGAAAGAAGCTACATGGGATAATTTTACAAGCTCGGATGGCAGAACTCACTAGTTTGAATGTTGTAAAGTGAACGGTTAGCTGTTAAGAGTAGCTGCAATTTTGGTTAGGCCATAAACATATGACCTTTGAAGGGACCTCAATCACCTCACTTGCCTTGACTAATACAACGGCATGTCCGAGGGCAGTTTAGAACCGACCAATTGTTTTTTTTCCATGACATAGACCTTGTAACCCAAATGAACCAATGAGTGTCGTCCATATAATAATATGAAGGCTAGTTAGCCCCAAGTGAATGATAACTAGCCGACTCCAAGGATAATAATTGTCATAATACTATCAATTTAGTCAGAAGTACCATTGGGATCAACACATACTTATATATGTTCCAGAGTCCCCCGGTCATTAATGCACTCTTGACATCAAGTTAGCGTAAATGGTCACTCAATATACTTGATATCTATCAACTTTTCGTTTATCTAATAAACGAAAAGTTGAGTACCTAAACATCAATGATGCATTACACAAAAAATTAATGTGATTTGAGTATCCAGAGTTGAGTAGTATCGATAGCTCGATTAAGTTATGTAAGTAAATACGTATTTTCCCTTTTGATAATATTGGGATCTGAAATCTCCTTGGCCTCCTTTCACTTATCAATTTAGTGTACCAAAACGCAAGCCAGGAGCGTGAAGTAAATTTGCTGTTGTCTCAAGATATCTTCGCCTCGAGGTTTCAATACAGACATTTTGCAACTTTATTGCTTCGCAAATCTGTGACAAACATCTTCCAAAATAAGTCCCTCACAAAGCATTATGGAACATCTGTTCCTCATGCGTTCAATCACACCTTTCAAGCTAATGATTCCCTGAGATGGGGATTGTAGTCCTATAATGCCAGCGCATGGATTCTCCTTCTTCCGCTCGCTTGACAAACGCACTGTGAAACTCCTTCCAGCATCACAAGTGTCTCGATTTCACATGTCTGAACCCAGAACTGCAGGCATCGTGGCGACCCTGAAGACCTGGTAATTGAGTTAAGACTCCTGGGAAAACATGAACTGAATAGACGATTTGTTAAGCCGAAGCTTAGGATAAGCTGATCGTCTGAACTCTGCTCATCGATCCGCTAAAATCTCCACATCTCGCTCGGGCTTCTCAGAATCGTGTTAGTGAAATAATCCCTGAAATGTAGGCAATGCTGGTACGTTGTCGTCATGAAGGAATTTCCTCGCATAGAAAACCAAATCTTCATACACTGGCTTCTTCTCGTCCTTCTACCTTTCGAAGTTAAAAGTCCCTCATCACGCTTATAATAATACTCTGGACAGTGTCATCTACTTTCGATTCATGAAAGCCCTGCCTCACGCTTCGCAAAGTTTCTACCTCGGCATCTCTTACTCCTACTTCTCAAAGTTAAAAGTCATGCTCGAGCTCTGCTGTAGACGGTTGAACAGGGGTAGACCTGGATGCTCTGGTCAGGACATCATCCCTCTGGTCAGTGGCATGCATTTGATAGATGCCGAAAAAGCGTTTCAGTTAATTCTCTAATAAGCTTCAGCGGGTGAAATTGACCTTCACCTAACTCTCGAGTGGCGAAAGGTGGAACTGAAATGGGGCATCGAGACAACGCGAGCTCCGTAAATGTTTCAGCAGGAGGTAGAGCCTGAAAAGTTCCAGTTGTTGTCAAACGGAACCTTCCAGAATTATCTTATCATTGGTGAAAGTGGGGGTGGAAGAGGGAGTCGCAAACGAGCTATCGCTAGATTGGCGGAAACGGTGCCAGACAGCTAGCTAGCCGAATGGGACAAACCGAAGGTAGAGATCCATAGCCTCCATAGCTGGACAAGCGCAGTATGCACCAAAAAAGCCCAGGAAAATCGGGGCCACAGTGCTCAACGAAGAGAGAGAAGGTCCAGAGGAGTGAGTGTGCAGTGCGCAGCCAAGCATGGAGCCACAAAGGAAGCCAAATTAGCGGGCGGGTGGAGAGCACGGCCTCAACAAAGCCAGATTTCAGAGCCACCGCTTAGAAGCAACCTTCTATTTATTGAGCATGAAAGAAGCATGACATGCCCACCTCGAGACAGATAACTCCCACTGAACGGAAACCACATCGCTCTCGTTTGATAGAGGGAACAAGATTCCTCCCTCCCTGGAAAGCAGGAGGGAAGAGGAGGAGGAGGATTAGAAATGCCTTGAGCATCATCGCATTTCATGTCCAGGTCTCCCACGGGACATGAATGGACTCATCTCGATTCCTGTTCAGAGGGCAGTGCAGAGTAGAATCTGCGGTTCGATTGACTCGTGGGAGGATGGGTTTGAGGTGATGTCGTAAGGACATGTACAATGAGACTCTCGTTCTGATTCTGTGCCCAGTTCACGTGGACTATTTAAAGATTCAGGGCGGGCTGTTCGAGGGATCGGAGGGAATATTGATATTTTATGTGGCGGAGGGGCAGACCAGAGAGCTTAAGTGTTGAGATCCTGGCTGTTGTCCCCTTGTGGTCGTAACCTCTCTCTGTGCTGAGAGTATGGCAAAACTTTCAGCACCTGAGAAGGTGAAGCTGGCGATCACGCCCTCGTGGCCGATCTTGTGCGTGGGGCTGTTTCTGCTGGCCTTGATCATTCAGAATTCCGACTCTGTCGATCGATTCTTCGTGACGAGCTACATCCGCCACACTCCTCGAGCCGAGGCGCAAGAGATCGCCGACACCGCTCACGTGCCGGCAGGCACCGCCACTCTCGACGAGAAGAGCGATGGAACGATCTTCGCTGCAGATTCGGGTCCTCCTCCTTCGAATCCCCCTCCGCCCCCTGCTCCCGTCATCGACGAGCCGTCCAAGGACCAAGACGTAGTGTTCAAGGATGACTCGCAGAGCGCCATTCTCGCGCAGCAGCAGAAGAACGAGGAAGAGGAGAATGCCAACCTGCGCACGGACGACGACGATGACACGGCGTTCGTGCCTTCCGCGGGAGTGCAGAAGCTGGTGGAATTGCTGCGCCAGGCGACGCTCGAGGCCTCGGGCGGCGAGCCGGTGGAGTTCACGGAGGCGGACAGGAAGGCGTGGGACGAGCAGCATCCGTGCCGGAGTCGAGGCGAGCTCAGGTCGTTGTACGCGGAGCGCAAGCACATGAAGGACGTGCCGATCAACCGGCAGTGGAATCTGGTCTTCTCGGAGTACGAGAAGCTCCATCGCACCTGCACGTCGAGAATAGGCGATCTGCAGCGCTACTTCGAGTCGAAAAACACGTCTTCGGGGTGCAAATTCCTCGTGACGGAGCCGCACTTTGGCCTGGGCAACAAGCTCTTCCACACCTCGTCCACCCTGATGCTGGCGATCCTGACGCAGCGCGTGATTCTCATCCCGAAAGCTACCTCGATTCCGGCCTTGTTCTGCGAACCATTCGCCGGGTCGTCCTGGGGAATCGACGATGCCTTCCACAGCCTCATCAAGGACGGCCGCAAACCCTCGGAGCAGTTCTTCAAGCAGGTCGATCACGACAGGACCGTCGCTCGCAAGGCCAAAGGCACGCTGGGCAACAGTCTGTACGCATCGGCGATGAATGACGAGTGGGTGGGTCCAGAGCCGAGGTTCTGGTGCAACACGGAGCAGAAGTACATGAGCTCTGTCACGTGGTTGACGGTGAGCGGATGCACGCTCTTCGTGCACAAGCTGATGGCGATCGACATGTTCCGTCGGGCTATGGAGGATCTGTTTCCGCAGAAAATCGTGGTCACGTACCTGCTGCGCTCGGTGCTGCTGCCCACGGATCCGGCCTGGGAGCGAATTCTGCACGTGAACGAGGTCTATCTGGCGGGCGCGCAGAAGCAGGTCGGCGTGCAGGTGCGATTCTTCCAGGAAGACGAGGAGTACAAGTTGAAGAACGAACAGATCAACAAGCGCATCACGAAATGCATGTGGGAACACAAAATCCTGCCCGAAGTCTGCCCCGCCAATCCCCACGACAAAGCTCTGGCCGATCCCAAATTCGCCGACTGCAACCACAAGCTCACGGCCGAGGATCACCAGAACCCCAAAGTGCTCAAGGTGCTCATCGGGTCGCTCTTCCTGGGGCTACACGACCACCTGAACGACATCTACCTGCGCCACGAGATGACCACCACCAAAGAGGCCGTGGGCATCATTCAGCTCACCCACGAGCTCATCCAGGGCGACGGCCAGGAAGTGGACACGCAAGCTTTGGTCGAGATTATCAGCCTCAGTATGTCTGACATTCTGCTGATCACGCCCATGTCCACATTCGGAGGGGTGATTCACGCCTACGGAGGTCTGATCCCCTGGTTCATCGAGTTCGGCCCCGAGAAGGATCCGGCCGTGGTGTGCGAGAGAGGCAAGGGCATCGAGCCCTGCTACATGGGCGCCAGTCAGTACTACGAGTGCAAGTATGATGATGCCGGACAGCAGAAGATTTCGGACGTGGTTCCTTACCTGCAGGATTGCTTGGCGATCGATGTGGGATACGGATACAAGCTCAACATGATACCGGAAGGATACGGAATGCAGATGACCCCGGAGAATTCCAAGGATCAGGACTTTTCTATAGACTAATAATCCGTCCAGTTGATGTTTGCTTACACTGGCCATGTTTGCGACCTGTATATAATTGGTTATGTCTAAATGAAAGAGCCACGGCCAGCACCCAGCACCCAGGGCCCCAACCCCCACACTCCTCGGTCCATACCATCATCATGACAGTTCGTCTGCAATTTCTCACAATTTTCGGCAAAGAATTGCTCGGACTTACTCGTGCTCGGGCTTCGGTCGAGAAATCGATGGATCAGACTTCTGACATGGATGATGCTGATTCTCCGAAGTTCGTTCACCAATTCTACCAGCTCTTCAAGCAGACCGGTCCTGATGCCTACCTTGGCACCACTTTTGTCGGATCATCTCTTGTTTGCAGAATTTCTGGGCGGGGAATGCAATTTATCGATGGAGGTCGGTTGAATTATTTGGTCGAGATTTTCATCCGGGAATGCAGTTGAGTGACAGACATAGTTTTAGTGATTGTCATTGATGAGAGCAGCAACAGATTCCTGAGTATCGATCAGTCGATGGGACGGAATTCTTGTGGATCCTCTAGAGGATTGAGATGCCTCACTCATCTCGGAGCTTTAGGATCGAGATGGTGATGCAATTTAGCAGTGAACTATTTATCGGCTCCATGGTTGGGGCTCGGAAAGGAAGAGCTAACGTCTTCAGGCTGAAACGTGCTCTATATCATCATTGAAAGGTGGTCAGGTTCCAAAGGGAACCGTAAACAGGTGGACGAACAGGGTTTATGATGTATAAAGATTCAGGCGAATCCCAGCTGGACGAGATGTGTCTTGGGCAGAGGGAGGGCCGGCATAAAGTGGGGATGATTGATCGAACTGGGACGATGGACCCAACAAGTGGTCCAAGGCCTCTTGTTGTGGCCTTGGACCCGAGGCCACTTGTGGTGATGTCGTTCATAGACCTCGTGCCGAATCCGTGAGCACGTGGAGAGTACTTTAGATGAGCTGATGGGGGCCCGGGAGAGGCTCAAGGAACGCAGAAAACATTACAATTTGGTAAAGTCTAGACGAACATTGTTCAGATGATCCTTGTAATCTTTAGTTAGTATATTTTTTGAAAGCTCGTGACATGTCTCAGACGATCGATCTTTCCATAGAGGTCCGCACGGAGGTGACAAAGTGGAGTTGGGTTCCGGTCCAAACATGATTCTTCTGTGCGATGATTGGTGCCCTGATTACAGTATTTATTTTTTGATGTAATATAGAAGCAATGATGTCCGAAAGTGACGACATGTCTGGCTTTCTTGTTGAGTAAATTTCGTTCCCCGCGGTGAACGTTCTAATCTGTAAAGGGTTGGTGTCTTTTCATCCTGTGATCGAATGTAACCATGAACTGTTTCTTGAAGGCACCCGGCTTCAATCTCGTTAGAAACAAATGCGGTATGCAAACGGTTTGTCCTCGATGAATCAATGTAGCTTGTCCACTAACTGTTGAGAGAATTGATGGAATATATTATGTTCTATCTCGTCGATGTCTGAACTCGATAATCGTGATACAGATGTAGTGCTAGCAAGAGAGTAACTTTATTATTGCCTGGCAGAATGGAAGTTAGGCTTGGCCACGGTCCGGACTGGCGGTTAACCGTGGGTCCCGTTTAACCGGTCCCAGAGAAAATTCGTCACCCTAATGTAATGTAGTTCATAGGCTTGGCCACGATCCGGTCCGGTCCAATTTTCTCTGGGACCGGTTTACCGGTCCACCTTTTTTCTGAACCCGTTAACCTGACCGTGGCCAAGCCTGATGGAAGTCATGTTTAACGTGAGTGAGTAATTCGTGAGCAAATATATGGTGGCCACAACGGGCGTAAGATGTTGAGACGCTTTCACCAAAGTTGGACGTTTTCTTAGACTGCAAATTACAACTCAGGGTGTAGTATGTGAAAGTACTGTATTCATCTAGAAGGTATGGGTGTTCAGCAAGTCGTCATAAAATCTACAACGAGGTCCAACTTCTTGGGTCCAAGTTGATTTTACGATAGCTCTACCACTTTTGGTTGCCGAATCACAAGAATGTACAAATGAATGTGGGGATCAGGGTATCGACCTTTGGAGTCGATCTTCAACTTAGAAGCTGTTTCAACCGTATGCATGTATATACAGCAATCATTCCGCTTTTCAGAAGACGACTTCCAGGCTGATTAGGCTGCTGAGAATCGCACAACCATGCATGTCGTGATCGGTAAAGCATGATGAGGATTGTTTTGGTCCAAAGGAAGATTCCTTTGGACCAAACCGAACGAAAGAGCCAGCCGGATAAAGGGAAGTGGCTTTTCATGTGGCATTATCTTGAGCCTTGCGGCCTGCACGTGCTATGGCCAGCTCAACGTTCGCTGCCGCATGGGTTCTCTCGCGTCACGGTTGTCTCGCTGCAGGAGTGAACAAGTATAATCAAAATTAAAGCTTGAGAAAGCCTAAAAACCCATGTTTCATAAACCTCCACTGATCAAAACAGGGCAACAGATAAATCTGCATAAAAGTGACAAGGAAGGGAGAGAGAGAGAAGAGAAGAGATCGACACTCTCACAACCAGCCACAGAGAAGGAGAGAAAGAGAGAGAGAGAAGAGACCGACACTCTCACAACCAGCCTGAATAATGATAACTGAATGATTCATCCCACAAGTCTCCATTATCTAGGATCAAATTATGAATGAAAGCTAAAGACCACCGGGAATTGAAGATCATAAGACCAGTCATATCCTTCACAAAGTCAATCCTACAGCTAGATTCAGGACTGTCCTGGTTAATAGTCGTTGTACCGCTGGTTTAAACTAAGTACAGCTACTGTCCATTTTGAAGTCACGCCTGCAAATTTGACCCTGTTGATATTCAGTTTGCAAGACGATTGAGGCAATCGCGCTGGCTCCTGGAGAACTTCAGTACCTCAACCTTTGGAGCCCAAGTAGAGAAAGGTTGGGTTCGCTGGGACATGCCACGTCGTACTTTCGAACAGTCAGTCAATCCGGCAGATCAGAATCTCCCTCGCGTAGGGGTCACTCTGGAGATTGCACGACGGTTTTAACAGGGAGAGTCCTGGCAACTGTGGTATTGGAGTGTGGCGCACTCCCACTAAAGAGAAGCTCTATTTGGCTGCCTTCGGACAACTTCATGTCAGTCAAGTCTGCACACTGTAGCTCTGCAGACCTCCAAGAAAGATGTATGCGGACCTCAATGTCAACGCTACGTTACAAGTTCCCGTCTGCAGATCGAGCTACATCGATAGAGTCCAGAAGTGAATTGGATCATCGGAAGATGATCCAAGTCTGAAGCTACTCCATCGGCTTCTTCCTTCGGCAAAAATCACTGTTACCTGCTCCCAATCGATTTCCAGTCATTCCTGCCATGTTTGGGTATACATTTGGGTTGTTATGAAATTTTAACAAGCAAAGACTATATACACTGTCAACATATAACCCGGTGCTCTCATATTCGCCGAAGAAAACTTTCCATTCTCAAGATTTCAATCGGACAATGCTCGTGGTAAATCTGAGATTGAAGCGGGCTGGGACGACACGACACCCGTCCCTTCGTTTTCGTATCGTCCACATGAATATGCTTGGTCGATTGACTTAAATTTATTCCAATAACTAAATGATCGCGAATGGACAGGAACAATAGAAAATTTATATCTGTTTAGTGTTTCTTTTTTCTCACACAATAAGTGGGTGGTCTATCACATGCTTCTCCAGTTTGTCATTGTCTCCAGTTTTGTCATGTTATCAGGAACTTGACTAACAAAGGTGAAAATGAAGGTGAAAATGCCTTTCACGCGTCTTTTTTATCACGAATAGGCGATCAGATCGAAGGACATAGCTGAGTAGATCTTTCTTGGCAGCATGAGAATACTTAATATTTTTTGTTTGGTTTTGGTCAAATCTATACACTTGAACTAAGAGAGAGGATGCCTAATTCACTGGCAAGCAAAGATTGTTGTTGAATTTCAAGGTGGCATTTATGTTCGGATGGCCTTGAACACCATCGCCGAAAAATTATTCTGATGGACAGTCGTCGAACAAAAATGGGATCATAATTGCCAAACTTGTTTTTCATGTGCGTCAATTATTGTTGTAACTTGGCTTTTGCAATAGCTTTGAATGTTGCATACACATTGTCAACATATGTTGTTCATGATGAATCATTTTTCCAAGAGTGTTTATGGCATTTCAAGTGATAAAAGACCTGTGCATTATAAGGTTTTTTTGCTTAGATTGAATCTTGATGATCAAATTATCATCTTATATATTCTGTGATAAGAAAAAAAATAAAGAAAAAAAATAAAAGATATTAAAAAATCCAACTATTTTGCTTGGCTTTAACTTATCGATTTAGCTAGCAAATATATCATATTAACATTTTTTTCTTAATTTTAAATATGTTATAAACTTACATTTTCCGGATTGAATATTGGTAAGCTCCAACTAAAATTACATCAGAAGTATTTTCAAAGCTATTTAAAACACCTCATTAATTAATTGGTTTATTGATGTGTTAACGTACAAAAATTTAAGGTGATGTATCATTTTTTTTTCTTATGTTTATTCTCGAATGATGTTTTTTTCTTTTCATGATCTATTTCAAATCCATAATTGATGTAAAAAATTTGAAAAAAGTTTGCTGGATCTTTAATTTATTTCTTGATTCCAAAATATAAAATATGAAGCAATAAAATATTTTTATATCATAAAATTAAAACCTTGTTAGATTTTACTTGATTTTAAAATTTCAAATTCAGAAGGAATTTATGTTCAAATTTCAGATTTTTGCAATGAAATTTTAGATGTAAAATATATCAAGTGTTTTAAATTTTTTGTGTTGATCCTACATATAATTTTGCCGCACAATAAAAGTAAGCACAAAGTAATATTTGAAGTTAGTTGGTTGATTATCTTTTATTTTTTTCTTAAAATATATATTAATTTTATATAAACTTCATATTAATAAAATATTTGAAAAAAAATTTAACTTTTTAAAAAATCAGTTTTCAATTTGATATTGTCAAAATTTTTGTCTCAGATTTTAAAAACATTTGGAGAACATACAACCTTACAAAAAACAATCATCATAAAATAGTTTAAAAAAATATTGTGTGTGAAGTACCAAATTTAATTTAAATAGAATCATGTGTGCCAAAATAACACAAATTTAAACAAATTGATGTTCAAAAGCTTTGATATAATTTTAGTGGATTTAGCAAATTGTTTAAAAAAAATTGCAATCATTTGTAGAAAATTTGCATTTTGAAGGAAAAATTATCAAGATGAATTACTCTGATATACAATTGGATGAATTTGGCAAATTTTATTAACAAGAGATAATTTCAAGTGATGTCATGATAAAATGAGTATGTTAAAATGTTTTTAGTAAAAGTATGTTGTAAGTAATGTAGCTGGTCCAAAAGAAGCTTCAATTTTGCTAACTCAATTCTAATAGCAAACTTCATAAATAATGTATTCTTAAAATTCATTATTTCCATAATTTTATTGGAATTTTAAGATTTATAATTCTGATTTTGTGATTTTCAACCAATAAAATTTTGATGATAAATTTATTTTAAAACATATGTGCGCATATTATTCAAAAAAAAAATACTTTTATGTACTGCTTTCAAATGGAGGAATGGTTCTGAATGCCCGCAGTTATTGAAATTTATGGCGAATTTCACGAATAGCGATCCCAACCAAATAAGATTCCTACGAGCTTGGATTTTAAAAAAATATGCTGATTTATGCATAATTTTGAAATTTAAAATATATATCATACAGAAATAAGTATTATTGAAAATTTTAGGATTATGAAAAAATTTGAGAAAAAATTATTTTTTACGAAAAGAAAAAAATTTCCTGCTAAAATCAATTATCATTTATCTAATGATTTCCAAAACATTTGTTAAAAAATTTGCAATGTGTTTTTTAAATTAATATACTGTAAAATTTGAATAAAAAATAAAATTTATAAGAAAATAAATTTATGCAATGAACCCCAAAAATTTTATGAACAAATTAAATTTATACCAGATTTATCACGTTTTTGCCGAAATTTATTGAAATCAACACTAGTAAAAAAAAATGAAAGTGTTGTTAAAAGATGGCAAAAATATTCTTCCAAAGTAATTAATAAATTTTTTCTATTTTACAGGATAATATATAATATTTTTTAAAAATTAAAATAACAAAAATTATTTATGTGATGAATTTAATCAGGTTTATATGAATGGTTCAAGATGGACACTCAAAA